CAGCTATCCTAGCACCACTTAATAAAAGATTTTACCACTATTGATTTGTGATACTTCGATTATTTCAATTTGTGGGAGGCAGAACAATGAACCCTTAAGGATGTCTACATTGTAGCCCCTAAAATGTAATAATGTTATTCTATTCGAGATTTTACCGATATATTAGCTGGGCAGGTATGCAAAAACATACCCAGCATTCAGAAGGCTAAGTAGAGAGGATTGTTCCCTAGGCTACATACTGAGACTGCCTTTAAAAAGCAAAAAATTATCAGAGCTTGCTTTCCTGAGATTTCAGGTCATGATTGGGTTGTAGATGTGGGTCAATTGAGTGCTTGCTTATTTCATGAACCCAGAGTTTGATGCTCGTACCACATACACCAGGCATAGTGGTAAGTCCCAGGATATCCTTCCTTTCAAGAAGGAACACCTAGAGGGGTTATTGATCTTAAACTCCTGATCCTTGTCTCCACATTTCAAGTGCTGTGATTATAGGCAGGAAGCATTTAGGAAGCAGAGGCAGGTGGTGCTCTGAATTTGTGGACAGCATGGTCTACATATAACGTTTCTATAGCTTTTATTCTTTTTTCAGTGCATTGTCTGGGGTCTTGTATCGGCGGTTCCTTTGTAACGGCTACCGGTCCGCAGGTCAGGATCTAGCAAGAGAGAGAGTGGGGACGGAGGAGGGGCGAGAGACACAAAAGATGGATACAAGACACAGTCTGATCAAGCCTCCTCAAGTCTCTTCTTTATTCTCTCTTACAGAAAGGAAATCCTGGGTATTTATACCCTTTACCACGTGACTTGCCCTCCTGGACAAGCTCAACTGAAGGCACTATATCACTTGCATTGTAGCAATGGATACCACGAGCACCTTGCAGCTGGGGGCACTAAACAGTGTAACAAGATGTTTATCAGAGTGTGCTCAGCTGTTGTGGGCTGTTGAAAACAAGTCTCTTGTCAGGGTATATGGCCTGAGATGGCTGCAAAGATGATAGCTGCTTTCTGCTAGGAGTCGGCTCCCAACAGGTCTGTGTCTGTTCTCCACCTGTCTCCTAACAGAATCTTCTCTGCTCAGCTCAGTTTTTCCTGGCTCAACTGCCTTATCTCTTTCCAATCCCACACCTGTCTTCTGGACACTAATCCTCCATCTACTGGACCCTACCATCCTTCTGCAAGCCTCTTCTGGCTTTTAATATCCTCTCCTGTTCTCAGAAGTCCAAAAGGCAATCAAAGCTAAAGGTCTTATGGCCAAGCAGTTCTAACTCCTAAGTACTTCCAAAGAGTCAGTTGACTAACCATTGGGGATCTTTTAAAGGGCCAGGTACATAAAATGAATCACATTGTAAGTTTCATGCCAGCCAGGAATACATAGTAAAAACCTATCTCAAATCCAACCCCCAAAACACTGTAAGCTAGGGATATGACTCAGTAGGTGAAATTTATCCATAGAACCCACTTAAATCTAGACAAGATATTATGAGCATGGCTATAGAGATGGGAAGCAGAGGCAAATCTCTCATATAAAAGGTAGACGGCAAGGAGCACTAACACCTGAGGTTGCTCTCTGACATCTTTATGTATTGTCACAACACGTGCACCACGGCATTTTTGTGGACACCCCCTCACACCCCTGTGTGTATGCAAGCGCATGCCAGTGAACAAATGAAAGAGAGTCATGGAAAAAGCTGGGTATAGAGAGGTGAACACCTTTAATCTCAGCACCCCAAAAGGAAGAAACAGGAAGATCTCTTTGAAGTCTTCTTGCATGCACTTACCAGGCTGAGGGAGGACTGCTGTAGAGCTTGAAGCCAGCCTGAGCTACAAAGTGATTTTAAAATAAGTCTAAGCTACTTATCAAGAAACTGTCTCAGAAAACACAAATAAATAAAAAGAAAACCCAACAGCAATAAAAAGAAGTTATGATTTGCTTAGTGATAAAATAGCCTAGGTTCTATTCCTCAAACTACAAAACAAATGGGCTGGAATGTAGCTTTAAAAAAAAATAAAAGACAGGGCTGGAGAGATGGCTCAGCAGTTAAGAGCATTGACTTCTCTCTCAGAGGTCCTGAGTTCAATTCCCAGCAACCACATGGTGGCTCACAACCATCTGTAATGGAATCTGATGCTCTCTTCTGGTGTGTCTGTAGACAGCTACAGTGTACTCATACAAATAAATCTTAAAAAAAAAAAAAAAAATAAGCAGGGCGGTGGTGGCGCACGCCTTTAATCCCAGCACTTGGGAGGCAAAGGCAGGCAGATTTCTGAGTTCGAGGCCAGCCTGGTCTACAGAGTGAGTTCCAGAACAGCCAGGGCTACACAGAGAAACCCTGTCTTGAAAACAAACAAACAAACAAACAAATAAATAAATAAAAGACAAAGCCAGGTGGATCTCTGTCAGTTCCAAGACAGCCAGGGTTACAGAGAAAGTCTTTGTTCCCCCCCACCCATATATAAATATATAGTGTTTAGCACGGAAGCATTAAGGTAAGTTTATGATCATCCTTGGCTACATGAGTTACAGGCAAGTCTGGGATAGATGACTATGAGAAAACAAAACAAAACCCATCAAACTTAAAAAGATGTGTAGGGAGGGAGGGTGGTCTAAATACAGCAGTTGGGGTTTACTTATGGCAGTTCTCTGCAGGCAGCACTACTCCTACTCAGTTAGGAGGCAGGGGAGTGGGAGGACAGTCAGGGCTAACTCATGTTCCTTTGATTTATAGAATTTCCATTCTGCCACAGCATGATACTTTTTTTTGTTTTGTTTTTTTCGAGACAGGGTTTCTCTGTGTAGTCCTGGCTGACCTGGAACTCACTCTGTAGACCAGGCTGGCCTCGAACTCAGAAATCCTCCTGCCTCTGCCTCCCAAGTGCTGGGATTAAAGGCGTGCGCCACCACTGCCCGGCTGATGATACTTTTTAAATTTTTACTTTATCTTTATTTCTTTTGTGTGAATGTTTTGCATACATGTATGTTTGTTTGCCTGGTCCCTGTGAAGGTTGGAAGGGGGCATCAGGGACAGTTGTTACAGGAAGCTGTAAGCCACTGCATGAGTGCTGAGAATTGAACCCAGGTCTTCTACAAGAGCAGCTAATGCTCTTAACAGCTGAACTATCTCTCTCTCTCTCTTTTTTTTTTTTTTTTGGTTTTTCGAGACAGGGTTTCTCTGTGTAGCCCTGGCTGTCCTGGAACTCACTCTGTAGTCCAGGCTGGCCTCGAACTCAGAAATCCGCCTGCCTCTGCCTCCCAAGTGCTGGGATTAAGGGCGTGTGCCACCACCGCCCGGCTGAACTATCTCTCAAACACAAAGTTTTTGTATATGAGAAAAACATGGTTTCAGAAAGCAATAGTTTTTTTATGATTGTGAGAAACTAGTGTTACAATGTGATATTGTTTAAATTTCACTATTTAAAAAAAGATTGAAAATCTTGCTGTAAAGCATTCTTTATAGAGAAGGAAATGACCTGTACTGAAGGTATATTATTTCATTATCACATACATCACAAATACAAAAATATTCACATATTTACATAATATATGATGCCAAAAATGAATGAACTTTTCCTAGAAAGAGTAATTAGAAAGAGTATACATTAGAAAGAGAAAACATTAATAAACATTTAAAGAAAATACCAAGACTCTCAAGAAAAGATGGCAACCATTTCAATAGCTGAATATTTCTACTTTCTTTTAACAGCATTTCTGAAATGGAAAAGGATGAACAGTTTGTGGATAGATATATTCTTTTGGGTTTTGTTTGTTTGTTTTTGAGACAGGGTATAGCCCTGTATATATATATATATTCTATAAAGTATCCCAATATAGTTGTTGTTGTTTGCCTGTGGTACTGGAGATTAAACATAGGCCTTTGTACATGCTAGGCAAGCATTCTACCACTTGACTCTACGTCCAACACCCCCAATTGCTTAAAAACAAAACAAAAGGTTTTTTTTGTTTGTTTTTTTGTTTTTCGAGACAGGGTTTCTCTGTATTTTTGTTTTTTTAAACATTTTTAAAAATTTGTTTTTAAGATATATTTATTTATGTACACTGTCGCTGTCTCAGACACAACGGAAAAGGGCATTGGCTCCCAATCACAGACGGTTGTGAGCCACCGTGTGGTTGCTGGGAACTGCACTCAGGACCTCTGGAAGAGCAGTCAGTGCTCTTAACCGCTGAGCCATTTCTTCAGCCCCAAGATTTTGTTTTTAATTATGTGTATAAAGGAATGGGCACATGTGAGGGCAGGCACAGGAGCCATCCAGAAGAGGGCATGATCCCCTGGAGTTAGAGTTACAGGTGGTTGTAGGCTGCTGTATTCTTTGTTTGTTCTAATATGTCACCACTATGTGAGTGCTAGAAACTAAACCCAGGACTTCTGGAAGAAAGAACAGCAAGCATTCAACTACTGAGCCATCTCTCCAGTCTCTTCCACAATCCCCACCCTGTTTTTGTGTTTGTGCATGCATGCACATATGTGTTCCTGTGTATGTGGGTGTGGGTGTAGACCAGAGGTAGACAAACTATGTTTTCCTTAGTTGTTCTCCAACTTTTTTTTTTTTTTTTTTTTTGGTTTTTCGAGACAAGGTTTTTCTGTGTAGCCCTGGCTGTCCTGGAACTCACTCTGTAGATCAGGCTGGCCTCCAACTCAAAAATCCGCCTGCCTCTGCCTCCCAAGCGCTGGGATTAAAGGTGTGGGCCACCACTGCCCAGCCTTATTCTTTTGGTTTTATTGAGACAAATCTCACTCATTGTGTTGACCATGCTGGTCTTGAAGTCATGAGATCACATGGTCTTCCTGTTTTAGTTTCCTGAGTAGCTGCGGCCATAGGTTTGTACTACCAGAAGCTGATAGAAATGTTCCTACTTTAGATATATCTGCTAAGCAAAACCCATAAATATACAGCTCAAGATAACAGGAAATGATTAATCTTTGTGTCCTATCTCCTTGTAAATGTTACCCTTAGAGCTTGTATTAAGGCAAGAGCACAACTTTAGACTTTTTTAAAAAACTGTTTTTTTTTTTTTTTGTGGTATTAAATGTAGGTCTTTACACACAAGACAAGTGTTCTATCAACAAGTTACTTTAGGGGAAATTTTTCACATGTCTGATCATTTAATCCTGGGTATAAGGATTATAACAAGTAGATGCTATTTGAGACCTCATCATTTTCAACTAGGTATTTTAAAACTAGTGATACAAATTAACTATGGCATCATCGGGAGGAATTTTGCTAGTTTTATATGATGTTAAGACAAAGAATAAATGTCAATATTGACCCTGATATATTATTAAGTGTTCTGTTTTTCAGCCAGGTCTCATAGACAGCCCAGGCTGGCTTTAATCTTCTCTCACTGGAATCCTAAGATTACAAGAGTTCACCTCTATGCCTGGTAAATGGATTTTTTTCTTGGTTGTTATGGCTGTGATCTGTGGTTCTTACAGCAAAAGTTTCAGTCCTTAAGTAGATCTTGGTAAATTTGCTTGACTACATTCTTCAGGTAGTTTTCCTCTAAGGGCACTTTCAAGATAATGGCAGCAATTTCATCATGGCTAGAAAAGACAAAAGAGTATTTTTTATTACTTTTCCTGAAAAACTTATACCTCTCTCCAAATCAGGGCTACTCATGTCCTTGGATACCATCTCTTAAGTTCCTAGGAAGCACAAATGTTTATTTCTGGAAATAAGCAGAACTTTACTTGAAACTGTATTCTAAAATAAGGCTAAATAACCAATTCTATAAAGTGCTATATATTATATAGTATATATAGATTATTAGATATTATATAATATAGATTATATTATATAATCCCAAGTGCTGGGATTAAAGGCATTCACCACCACTGCCCGGCGTTCTCCAACTTATTTTTGAGTCTTTCACTGATTGGCTAGACTGGCTGGCTAGCGATTCTCAGGTTCTTGCTATCTCTACCCTTCCCAGAACTGGGGTTATGGGTGTGTACCACCTCACCCTGATTTTAATCTGTGTACTAGGGATGGAATTACAGGTCTTCATGCTCGTGTGGCAGGCTATTTACCAACTGAGCCATCTGGTCTCCAAGTTAATTTCTTCAGCTACAAAATCCTAAATTGTTGCTTGCTGATGAATTAAAGAAGAACAGCTTCTAATAAGTCACAGTATGATCAAAAAAGTTATAAAGTAGATCATAGTCTGATGGGGATGAGCTGGAACTTCTGATGCTGCTCCCCCTTCCTCTAAAGTGGCTGGGATTACAGGGATGGAGCTCTATATGGTTGCTTTCTATGGTACTGAGAATGCAACCCAAGCTTTATGCATGGTACCAACTGAGTCACAAATTCAGTTCTAAAATGTTTCCTGTTTTGCAGAGAAGTGTTGAAAAACTGAAGCCATCATAAAAGATGGGACTCCAGCATCTACTGGAGACAGTAATAAGACCACTAAAAGAACAAATACTAGAAAAGGAAGTCAGAAAGAAGTGATATACTAACAATGCATTTGCTGACACTTTCAAGGACCTTTGGAATGAAATAAGAAGAGTACAAAAGTAGCTGGAACTCTCATCGAGCTGAATGTTTACTTACCCAATCTTCCCAAGGTGATTTTGAATGGTGAACGGTAGTGGGACCAAGGGATAATGAGCCGAGGGAGACAAGGTTATCGAAAACTTTGCAAATGCTGCAGAACTGGAGAACAAAAGTCTCAATCTATAAAAGACAGACACAATTAAAAACAGATTTTTCTTTTATACTTGCATAAGAAACTTAGGTGGCTATAATTTCTTGTCCTTATCAAATAGAAAAGAAGGTAAGACATCTGGAGCAAGACGTTTTAATAGTTACTTGCTCAGGAGAGGGAGAGATTGCACAGGTATGCACATTCACAATATGGGTGGAGGTAAGCATATTGGGTACAGATCCTCAGGCACCTTCCCCCTTTTCTTTGAGACGGTCTCTCAATGGACAGTGATCATCACCTACTAAAACTGACTGCAGATTTCTAGCCTCCAGAACGTTAAGTCAATTATGTTCCTGCTATTCAAGCCACTCAACTTATAATGCTTAATACCTCCAGGGAACTGAATATACTCACTCAGTATTATTCACATTTATATCCATCAGGCTATAATTTGGCCCCCATCGCTTTAAAAATTCGATCTCCTCTCCTAGAAGCCTACAACAGTTCACTACCAGTGAGAGTTCTTGAAGCATCTAGAAAAAATAAACAAACAGACTTTGTAAGTGTGTGTGTGTGTGTTTATGAAAAGATCATACTAAAATGCTTTATTTTGGGGTTTAGGGATGTAGCTCAGGAGTTCAGGTCTAGTGGCTAGAGAGATGGCTCAGTAGTTAAGGGTACTAGCTGCATTTTCAGAGGATCTGGGTTCGTATTCTAACACCACATGATGGCCAACAATCATCTGTAACTCCAGTTTAAGAGGACTCTGATGCCCTCTTCTGGCATCCTCACGCAATTACACATTTGGCTCAGACATATATGCAAGAAAAACACTTCTATACATAAAATAAAAAATAAAAGTTAAAAAAAAAAAAAAAAGAAAAGGCAGGGCTGGAGAGATGGCTCAACAGTAAAGAAAGAGCACTGACTGCTCTTCCAGAGGTCCTGAGTTCAATTCCCAGCAACCACACAGTGGCTCACAACTATCTGTAATGGGATCTGAAACGTTCCTCTGTTGTGGCTAATGTGTCATGGTTAACTTTGGCTACATAAGTCAGATGAGGCTGCAGAAACACAGTCTCAAAAAGAAAATTAAAGAACAAGAACAACAACATCATTCCCATTATTTTGAATGTGAACTAGAAAAGTAAAATAAAATGGGCAGTGGTGACATATGCCTTTAATTCTAGCACTCAACACACAAGCATGCACGCATGCACAAAGAAAACCTTCTGAGGTTTAGTGGCTATTATAATCCCCAAAATGTGGGATTTATTTATTTAAATGTGAATATATTTATAATTTTGGGGATTATTATATATGTAGAATTTCTTCTGCTATTTGGAACTAATAGGCAAGATTTTCTTTAAGAGCCTCACTAGACTTTACCTGGGGTACCTGATGCTGTGTTGTGCATTTCTTCTTCCAGGACTCCTGTTCCTCAATGTACTGAAAAATAAGCTTATGAACTAAAATGGAGGAAGAAGGAGCTTTATCTTCTGAATAAGAAAAAAAATGAAAATAAAGGTATTATTTATTCATCATTTTAATAAGGTATGAATATAATATTATATAAGCTAAAAACATTTTCAAACTAGATGCATATTTATTTATGTTTTATTTCCAAGCATGACCATAACATGTGTAGTTATATAAGCCACTCTATAAAACTTTAAGCCTAAGCATAAAAAACAGTTTTTTAGTGAAAGCATAAATTTTAACAGAACATATTTCTAAGTTCAAAGCTAGCTTTACTATCTAAGTAATTATAAGCACAGCACTTAATTTTTCTGATCTGTAGTTTCCTAACTGGTAAAACAGAAAATAATATCTGCTTATAGCACTGATATAAATAATCTACATATGTGGTATAGACTAAGTACCCATAGTGCTAATTTTAAACATAAAAGTAACTACTATTAATCATTATTCAATATCTAGAAGTAATATAATCATTTCTTTTAAAATCTACTCAGAATTTAGAATACTATACAAGCAGTTTTATCTCATAACACATTTTAAGGACATTATTATACCTATAAATTACCAAGAAAAGTTAGAGGCTTAAATATTTAGAACTTACCATCTAACAGAGACTGAAACCTGAGCTCATTAATCTTCCTGTTAGCCTTGTCCAAGAAAGGGAGACCAGCTAAAGAGAAACAGAAAAGGAGACTTTTCTCTCTTATTTCTTCTTCATCCTTACATAGCCTATGCTTGCGTGAAAATATTATCATACCTGGTTTATGCAGCGCTGGGGACTGAACCCAAGGCTTTCATGAATGCTAGGCATACATTCTACTACTGAGCTATAGCCTAGTTATAAATATTTTTCCTACTTTAGAATTCTATTGAAGGTTTATTATCCTTGAACCTTGTTTTCTCACATTATTCTCTGTATATGGTAAAGATCTCCTGATAGCATTCAATAATATTGGTTTAGTAGGTTCTTGAAAGAAATTAAAGTGTAAAACATAGCTATATTTATTTATTTTTAACACTTTTCCCTGTTTTTGTTTTTTGTTTATTTTTCTTTTTCAAGACATGGTTTCTCTGTGTAACAGAGCCATTCTGTCCTGGAACTAGCTCTGTAGACTTAGGCTAGCCTAAAATTCACAGAGATCTGCCTGTCACTGCCTCCTGAGTGATGGAATTAAAGGAGGTATTGTGTCCATGCCCTGCTCAGTTTTATTTTGAAAGAAACTTTAGGACTAAAGTGTATCTTAGTTTTGCTTTTGTTTTTTGTTTGTTTGTTTGTTTTTTCCTTTTTTTTGGGGGGAGGGGTGGGGAGGCAGGTTTTTTCCTATGTACTTATGGCTGTCTTGGAACTTGCATAGCAGGCTGGTCTTGAACTTGGAGATATCTGCTATAGCCTCTTGAGTGCTAGAATTAAGGGGAAATGCTACTGTGCTGGTCTTCAGGCTTGAGTACATCAAAACCAATTTACGACTCAGGCTTGGTGGTACAGGTCCTTAATCCCAGCACTTAGAGTGTAGTCAGGTAAATCTGAGTCTGAGGCTAGCCTGGACTACAGAAAGTAGTTTTATTTAGCACAGCCATGGCTAAACAGAGAGCCTATCTTCATAAGCTAAAACACAACAACCCCTCCCCGAAAAAAAAAAATATGGGGGAAATTATGAGAAATAAAGTCAACCCCCACAACAGGGATAAAAAAAAGCCAAGCCAACATTGTCTGGGTCCTGGGTCACATCAATACCCAGAGAATGTATTTTATCACTGAAAAATATTAAGAGCTCCTCCCTTGACTATAATTATTTCTATGCAAACATTTTTTTTTCCCCAAGAATCAAACAGGCACAAGGTGCATATCAGCTGCATTCAGGAGGTAGAGGCAGGTAGATCTCTGAATTTGGGGCCAGCTAAGTATACATTCTGAGACCTGTCTCAAACAGATAAACGATCAAATAAAACCATATGAAGGCAGTGGGACCAACTTCTCCATATCTACTAGCTGCTAATCCCTCTGGATTGTAAGTTACTTCTTGCTTCTCAAATTCTAACTCTTGTCTTTTTGTTGAACATTTTATTAAATATTTGCTATGTCCTAGGTACTACAGATGGCATGAGGAAAACAGATGTGAGGTGTAGAGAGATGCCTCAGTTTGCTTCTCAGCACACACATATCAGGCTCATAATCTCTTGTGATTCCTAGCTTCAGTTCCCAGGGGATCTAACATGTCCTTCTGGTCCCTGTCAGTGCCCCCCCCCACACACATATACACACGTGCTGAAAAACATATACATATTAAAAGTAAAACTTAAAAAGATATGACTATGACATATCCTGTATAGTGACTCTATGTAGTGTCTAGAGATTTCTACCTATTCTTTTTTTTTTTTTTCCCTTTGAGACAGGGTTTCTCTGTATAGCCCTGGCTGTCCTGGAACTCACTCTGTAGACCAGGTTGGCCTTGAACTCAGAAATTCACCTGCCTCTGTCTCCCAAGTGCTGGGATTAAAGGCGTGTGCCACCACTGCCCGGCTGATTTCTACCTATTCTAATGGCTTATCTATATAGAGAACTTTTTAGGAGATTACTTGTTTTTTATCTTCCCAATGGTCTAGATGGAACCCAAGGCCTTAAGTATAGCAGTGCAAGTGCTTTGCCACTGAGCTGTACCCCGAGGCCAGGACTTTACTATTAAGCACACAAATAAAATCAATCATGAATAACAGCCATTCAAGGAAATTCTCTAACAGAAAACACACACACACACACACACAGAGAAAAAAATTATTTGGATAGGAAGAATTTTATTATCTAAAAGAACTCAAAATCAGCTGTATTTTATTTTTATTCTTATTGTCTGTTGTCTTCTGAGACAGGGTCTCATCAGGTCGTAGATGACCCGCCCAGCCACGCCACCATGCTCCGCTCTTCTATACTCTTTGTTCTGTAACATAAAATTCTTTCCGACTGGGATAGCAGTAGAGCATAACTTAGCATGTAGGAGTTCCTGGGTTCAATCTCTAGCAAACTGTTATCAGTAAGGTAACTAATTCTTCTGAGATTCTCAGCAGTGTTGTCATTTTGGCAAAAGTTATACTATTATAATAAAATGTAGGTTTTTATCTTTAGAGTACAGCAATTCACTTCTCTGTAGAGGATCATTTTAGCTTTGCTACTTACTTACCTAGTGGCTCTCCAAAGGTGATGATGAGTTCTACTGAATCATAAACAAAGGTAAATACAGCTTGATCATCACTCCACTCAATGACATCCCATTCAGACAAGCTAGAGAAGGATAAACAAGAAAAACAAGTAAGTCTATCCTTTCTTCCTTCCTTCTCAATGCTGGGCGTTCAATCCAAGAAGTTACAAACCCAAATGAAGAATCTGTGATATCATTTAAATACTAGCAATGGTAGCTAAGATTTTTGTTCTCCACTGGATTGGGAAATAATATGTCTATTTAAATAATTTGAATGGCCAGGTTGGGAAAAAGATACACATTTTCAATCCTAGCCCTTGGGAGGCTGAAGCAGGCAGATCACCTTGAGTTTTAGGTTGGCCTGTGTTACACAGTGAGATGGTATCTCAAAACATGATACAAGGATACAAGTACTTTGGCAACACATATACTAAAATAAGAACAAATTAATCCGTGTGCAAGGATACCACAAAAATTTGTGAAACATTCCATATACACAGACACACAGACACACAGACACACACACACACAGACTAATCACCAATGGAAGTTTTATGACCACCTTTGCAGACAAACAACATAAAACAAAACCCTGGAAAAAATATATGATTATACAGTCTTGTGCTTTCTGTTTGCTTGGTTTTGTTTTATGTAGTTTTGTTTGTTTGTTTGTTTTGTTTTTTGAATTAAGCTTTCATTGTGTACTCTGGTTGGCTGAGAACGTGCTATGTAAATGAGGCGGATCAAATAAATTTCTTGCCTCTGCTTCCTAAGTGCTGGGATTACAGGTATGTTCAATAACACTTGGTTCAATCTTATGTATTTGAAACAACTCAATCTTGAGTCATATATTGGAGGATCTATTTGATAAAAAGTGTTAAAGATATATTTTAAAAAATATTCATCGTATTTTATATGTGTGTTCCTGAGTGTATGTATGCAGGAGGCTGCCAAAGGTAGAAGGCAGCATTGGATCCTCTAGAACTGGATTAAAGGTAGCTGTGAGCTACTATGTGGATACTGGGAAATGAACTGGGTCTTTTGCAACAGCAGTACACTTAGCTACTAAACCAGCTTTTCAGACACAAAAATAATTTTAAAAATTTTAAGCTTAACTCATGGTCCTTTATGTGTTTACCTCAGATATGAAGTACACTGACTTTTTTAAAAGGCTGATTAAACCTCAATCTTTGAGGGTCAAACAATCTTTTCACAGTGGTTATCTAAGACCACTGTAAAATGCAGATATATTTATATTACAATTCATAACAGTTGCAAAATTACAGTTATGAAGTAGCAATGATATAATTTATGGTTGGGGGAGTCACACTGTGTGAGGAACTGTATTGAAGGGCAGCAGCCTAAGAAAGGTAGGAGCCACAGCTGTAGGTGTTTAAAGGCCATAGCAATTGCTGGGTACTGTGGTGTTGGAATGTGAGTATTCTTGAGAAGCTAAGGCACAACAATTGCTTGGATCCAGAAATTCTAGGCCAGGATGGGCAACATAGGGAAGGCTTAACTTAAAACAACATTAATAATAAACCCCCAAATCCTCCAAAAATCTATAGCAATATATAAGGCACAGGATAGACCAGAATGAATGCCATCTGCCTTTTCTTACCTCAATTGATCCAGTAATTCTTCAGTTTTAGTTGTTTGTTCTTTTATAAATTCTATCTGAGCAAGGGTCTGCGTTTTCTGTGACTCTACTTCTAAGAACTTTCTGCAAATAAAATCAGGTATTCACAGAAAAACAAAGTATTTATTAGTGAGTTCAGAATAGTAACAAAATGTTTTGGGGATGGGGAGATGATTCAGTAGATGATGTCCCTGTGAAAGCTTAGAGAGCTGAGTGTGGATCCCTGGCACCCAGGAAGAACAAAGCAAGGTGTAACAGTGTTGGGACAGATCCTTCAGAGATAGATGAATCCTGGTGCTTGCTGGCCAGTCAGTCAAATCAATTGGTTTCTCTGGGTTTAGTGAGAAACTCTGTCTTAAAAGCTAAGGTAGAAGTTGGCTATGGTGGAGCATACTTTAGATCCCAGCATTGATGACAGAGGCAAACAGATCTTTATAGGTTCAAAGTCTATCTCATCACATACTAACCTTGAATTACAGCAATCTTTATGTCTCAGCCTTCTAACTGTTAAGATTATAAAGCATGGACCAACAGACCCAGAGTTCTGTCAACTTAATTTCAGTTAAACATTATTATTTGTCAAATTAATGTTTGTCAACTTAAATTTTATTGGTTTTGTCATTATTTACATGTAATTTCTTTTTTGAAAATGTATTTATTTATTTTAATTTTATGTGTATTGCTGTTTTGTGTGTGAGGTGGGAGAGGAAGGGAGGAAAGGAAGAAGGGGGAGAGAGAGGGGGAGGAGGGAGGGAGGAAAGGAGGAAGGGAGAGAGAGAGAAAGAGAGAGAGAGAGAGAGAGAGGGAGAGAGA